TCTTTTATATTTTTATAAGCAATCTAATATATGCTTGCATGCATCAATGATTTTTCTAAATGAAAATACTCAATCTTCTAAAAACTTTTACTTTATATTTTACATACACATTTGTCTCTATGAGGATTATCTTCAATAAATTTAACACACCTTTGGCTCGTTGGCTTTCGTCGGCATAGTGTTTAATGATCTACACATCACAATTGTCTTGGGTGGAAAAACTTTACCTGCCCCTGACTGATATTATCTCGTCGGCACAGAGATTAACAATTTAAACATCACAATTGTCTGGGGAGGTAAGTTTTGGTTTACTTGCCCCTGACCGATATTATTCTATCGACACAACAGTTAGTGAACTAACTATCACAATTGTCTTGGGTGATAAAAAACTCTACGCGTACACTGGTGTTCCCTGTCTGTACCATTAGGAGGTAAAATCCTCCTCTAAACATGTACATACAAGCATTGATATATAAATTATTTCATTCTTTGTACCTACATTATTCTATGATATCTTCATGCATTTAATAACATGTATACTTTTATTTACTTTGCTATGCAGCTATTTATGAGCATACCTCTCATATCATGCATACCTCTTATATCAAGTATATATTTTCTGTCATGTATATCTTTTTTTTATCATGCTTATCATGCATATATGTTTCATATTTTGTCTAGGTTTCATATTATATGTAGCCTACATATCATGTATTTCATACATTTCTTTCAGGCATATCTTATTTATCTTTTGGCATGCATATATCTCCTATCCTTCAATATGAAAAATTTAACTAAATTATAGCATACATAACTTCTAAAATGAAGGCAATTACTGAAATATAAAATTGTAATTACTCACCTCAATTGTTACTCTAAATTCTTGATCTTTGTTAACCGGTTGGACGTTGCGATAACTTTTATGTTGAGCTTAATAACCTATAAAACATATTGTTTAATTTTATAATTCAAGTAATTTTCGTAAATTGAATTATTCTTCTTTAATAACATGAGATTATTTCACCTAATTTGACGGAACAGCCCTACGACGAATGCTCACACACTTATCTCGAGCTCACTGCCTCATATAACCGGAGGCTAGTAGACGACAGAGGATTTCAAAATTTTGCTTATATCGTGATTTAATTCTAAATATAACTTGTTTGTAAAAACTACAAAAATAAAAAAGATTTCCCTGCCTTACCATTACCACATCTATTCCCTTCTAACTTAACCATCATTAATATCAGTTTTTTATTAAAAATGTCTTCGCAAGAATAGTAATTCTCTGCCCAGATTATTGTTCACGGATAAGAAAAATAAATGAAATTCCTGAATTAATGTAATCAATTGCAAAACTAAAAGCATAATGACATATCTTTCAAATACCTTAATTAATTTATTTTAATGCTCCTTAAAGCTACAGTATTTCCATCCTGAAGCCCAAACGCAAGCAGAAGCTGCAGTTCGTCGCTCTAGGCCACGCTTCCTCCCGCAATGCTACAGTACTCGGGAGGGAAGCTTACTTGCAAACTCTCTTCTCACTTCCGCCTCTCCAGCACCAAATTTGCATGGAACTTTTTTCCACTTCGTGAGCAACAATTCGACCGAGAGAGGAAAATGCAGAATAGGAACTTGTTAAGGCTTATCTCCTTCACACACACACACACACACACACACACACACACACACACACACACACACACACACACACACATATATATATATATAAACCCACAGCTAAACAAAGACTTCAGCAATCTGAAGAAAACTAAGTAAAAGTTGGGAAGATGAGTTCTAGCTGGTCAGTGGAGGTTGAAACCAAATCCCCAGCGGCGGCTGTCTTTAAGGCCACTTTCATTGACTGGGATAAACTCGGTCCTAAGCTCATCCCTGAGCTTATCACTGATGTTACTTTAATCTCCGGAGATGGCACTCCGGGGAGCGTCAGGTAGATCAACTTCTCCCCAGTGGTACCTTTTAGCTTCGTGAATGAGCGTCTTGATTTCATCGATCATGAAAATCATGAGGTGAAGGTTTCTGTTGTGGAGGGCGGACATTTGGGCGCACCAAACTTGAGTCTGCAACTCCACACATCAAGGTGGAGCCGAAGGGAAACGAGTCTATTGTTAAGCTCACAACGACATATAAAGCCATCGCGGGCGCTGTTGTTGCAGAGGACATCAAGAAGGGCAAGGAAGGTTTCATCAAGAGCGTGAAGGCTGTAGAGGAATATCTTGCAGCCAATCCTGGAACCTATGCAAAAAAATCTTAAACTTTGCTCCTCAAGTAATGTTGAGTGTGTTTGGGATTGTGGTGTGGTAATAAAGAGGATTGGTTTGTCGATCTTCTGAGAAGAGTTTTCATGAGAGTGCTTTTGTATTTAATTGTTGTATGTTGTGGTTTATACTTTGCTAAAAGCCGAATAAAATGAATGTTGTGTTAATTTTTAGAAAAATATATATTTTTTTAGAAAGCCCAAAGGCTAATATATTAAATAGAAACAAAGATACAGATACAATGTGTGGGAGGGCCCAAGCATGACACCCTGCTCGCACAATAACTACAAATGGTTCAAAAATTAGAAAATACAGAAAAGTACATGAGAGACTCGAAGAAAAAGCTTAAAAGTGTCGAAGTACATAGTATCAGGTGGCTAGAGAGCGATATATATATATATATATATATAGAAAAATCCCGAGGGCAAATGTATTAATACGAAAAAGATACAAAAATGTTGTATGAGAGGACTTAAAAGAAAGCCCAACTCATACAAATATTATATATATATATTTATATTATTTTATTTTCATTTATTTTTAAAAAGCCCAAAGGCTGATTTTATTGAAATAAAAAAGATACATAAAGGTTGTATGAGAGAACCCAATAGAGACACCCTACCCATACGATACCAAGTACAGTAATTCTCAACTAAAAGATACAGATAGACTCAAAAAAATAAAATTCGCAGAAAACAAGTAGCTAAGGACGAGTCAGTTTAGTCCTGTCTCTTCCTCTAATTTTAGGAGCGGAGCCAGATAACAAACTTTGAAGTATCGTGTCATTGTCAAGAGTAATCAAAATATCATCTATTAAGTTTTCAAGTTGGAGTG